GATAACAGCAGACTGACCGCTCGTCATTTTACCGCTCGTAAAATATACGACAGGTCTGGACCACTCGTGAATTTTGTTCGTATCTGAAAAAAATCTTAGAATACGAAAACATTGGTGAATGCCACAAATTCTCCTAAACCACTCGTACGCACAATTTAAGAACAAATCTGTGTACGAACGGTTCTTGCATGAGGCCCATTGCTATGTTCTTTGACCCAGTTTGGTTCAAGTCTCAGATGTTGGTCAGAAACCTGCTGGGGGAAGGAGGGTATGGGCACCAAGCTCTGCAGAGTTGAAGGTTAAGACTTCTGCTGATGGAAGGCAGATATCACCGATAGTTGTGGTGGTGCGGCCCATCTGATTGATGGAGGATCCTGGGGTGATGATTGAATCGACAACCTTCAACAACGCAACAATGAGGGCGAGTTTAGAGGAGGTTGTGCTGACACAGCAGCTTGTTACAGCTGTCAGGGATGAGGAGTCCACTGAGACGGTGGAACAGCTTGAGCACGGGGCAGCGGTGCCTGGGGTCACAGCAACAGAGGGAGCAGGTACAGATGAACCAGGAAGAAAGACCCGCCCACACATCAGCCCCTTCGAATGTTTACTTACATCTGAAATCTCCGAGCTGCTGTTTGGCCTGTTTGTTGCTTTGTTGATCTTTTTTAGCTGGCGTGATGTGTCTACTCTGCTGGGGTATGATCGCCAAGCCCTTTTAAATGCTGGTCAGTGTCAGAAATTATTAACGAAATGGACATCAGAAAACGCCTCAAACCCTTCTTATCTGACATACCGGTTTACCTGCGTCGCACACCTGTCAGCCGTCAGCGAAGAAAGCGCTGGTGGAGACGGGGAAAGCAAGGAGGCATTTTGGGGAGGATGAAAGCTCTCAGGAGGTCATCTGAAAAGAACTGATCGTGTTGGAGTGACTTTTCCTCAGTAAGGCGGATCCAGCCTGTTTTTCCTGGGTTGGTGTTGGACCAGGTTACATGACAAACTTTGGACTTGGTATTAACTTATGATTTAGATGGACATGTTGATGACATTATCGATGCCGGTATTTCTAATCATCTGCCTGTTTTATTTGAATTTAATTTTGTGAACCTTGTGCCTGATTCGCGCAGCTTTGTGAACTCCCGTCGCCTCAACAACGCACAGACAGCCTCCAATTTTAAAGCTGCTTTTACAGATTTGGAGCTTCCTTCTTTGGATGTCCATCAGTTTAAAAATATTGATCAGCTTCTGGATGGTTTTAATTCTGTTTGTACTGATATTTTAGATTTTATCGCTCCTTTTAAATCTAAACCTGCTAAACTAGCTACAGAGCCCTGACTGAATGATCACACTCGTGCACTAAGACGCAGCTGCCGGTGCGCAGAAAGGAGGTGGACAAAGGACAAGCTTCATATTTCCTTGGAGTTGTTAAAAGATTGTTTATCTAAATATCAGGCTGCCGTCAAAAATGCAAAGACTCATTTTTGTGTCTTTTGTGTCTGAAAATATCAGTAAGCCTCAAACTCTTTTTAATTCTTTGAACTCCCTTTTAAACCCTCATGATTCATCTTGCCTGACTCCTCCTGCTTCACTATGTGAAAGGTTTTTAAAATACAGCAGGTAAAATAAGTATTGAACACGTCACCATTTTTCTCAGTAAATATATTACTAGAGGGGCTAATGACATGAAATTTTCACCAGATGCCGGTAACAACCCAAGTGATCCATACATACAAAGAAATCAAACCATAAATGTCCAGAAATGAAGTTATTTGTAATAATGTGGAATGGCACAGGGAAAAAGT